TAAGATATTTTAAGAACTTCTTTGACAAACTCCTCTGTAAGAACTAAACTCCATTTAATCTGTCCTGTATAATACTGACTGTGGGCAGTTCAGTTACAAAGATTACTTTATGTAGAAGTTGAATGACTACTTGCTTGGAATTTTAGTTGTCCATAAATCCACTCAAAATAACCTAAATCAGTAATGGTGATATAAACAACAGAGGAAGTTATCACAAAGTACGTTATACCTTATCTATTAATGTAATATGAATATCTCAAGGTTATGATGCATCACGTAAAATTTATTAGTAATAATGAATAAAAAAGGCTAAGACGTACTAGCTGCTAAAAGCCCCACGTGCAGGGAAATACAATCCCTACTTGAAAATGTTTACAATCTAAAGTAATGGACAAAGCATAGGATCTATAAAACATAACAGCTTCGCAAATATTTTTGTTTACATGCATTTTTAATCTGTTTGTATTACGATGTGAATTAGAAGTGAAAAAGTGAGCAAGTAGAGGAGAGATGGAAAAGTTTATTCACAGTTTTTCCCTCCTTACTCACACGATCTGAATTTTGTAGACTTTGTGAGGACTCGTGCAGCGTAAGAGGTAAAACAGATGTTTAGATTTCATCAAGGCATTTTGTCCTTGCAAGGGATGTTCAGTTTTACTTTTTGCTCAGTGACCGCTTCACAATAAACCAGGAAGTGCTTTAGAGTTACTAGTGCAGAAGCTGACTGCAAAATTGCCAGGATCACAAGTGTTTCACTCAGCTGCACTCTAAACACTGTACGTAACATTTCTGAAAATGTTCCCTTCTTGTTTTAGTTCAAATATTAGCACTGCTATCCATCATTGTGCTAAAGACCTTCTCACCCATGGGAAGGATCCTGCCAAAAGAACGAATGCGTCTGCTGATAAGAAAGGCTGCAGCTGTCGAGGGCATTGGAGGAGAGACATGGTATCAAGAGTTCAGTACACAGAGGCAGATTTACGGCACTGCAAATGTATATAGCTTTGTAAATGGTCAAATATTTCAGCAGGGTAATTAAATAGATCCCAGATTTATAAACTAAACATTCCATAGCAGCCAAACAAGGCTTAAACAACTAAGAAAAATACTAAATAGAAAAGTTTTGGAAAATTTAATTGTCCAAGTGTCCTGGGACGCAAAGTGTTTTTCCTATTTAATCACTGAGTCTTTCTGGTTTAAGGAGCCCATATAACAAATCCAAGTATATTAGGTCTTCAGCAAGGTAACAGTTTTTGTACCTGACACTTTCCGTTCAGAAGACAAAGAGATCCAGTACCTAGCGTGTCTTGAGCTGGCACAAGGCTAGAACAAAAATCCTAGAGTGTTCAGTGACACGTAAACCAAAGCTGGCAGCACAGCCCCGTCCAGCCAGGAAGGCGAGATCCAGTAAGCACAACTGCAAGAGCGGAGAGCACAAGGACAAGTGAGCTGGTCCAGGTACGGTGCAAAGTAGTACAGGAATGGAATTGGAAAGTATCAGAATAGTTCACAACTAATAGACACGTTACTACAAAATACTCCAAACTGAATTTACTAATGAATGAAATAATAATCTGTCACTGTCATTTGCCAGTTACCTTCTTAAAACCATCAGGAACACCAAGAAATCAGGTAGTCCTCCTGAAGACACATTTAACTACATCCTATGTCATCCTATTTTCAAGAGGCCCTTGATGTTGAAAATTAGGCAATCTTAGTGCTTCCCACAATTAACTGTTAGAAGATCTCAGTGAGAGCAACTAAGTTTCTGTTCAATACGGTGTTATCTTTTACATTAAGAAATTATGTGAAGGCATCCTCCTAACATTAATGAACTACTGAGGTTAATTTAATGTGCTGAGAGTGTGTCAGGGATTGAAGAAGTTAACATTTGTTTCTATCTGAAGAAATTTATCTTGTTAAGCAGGTAGTCTTTCTTCCTTCAGGGCTTCCACCTATTGCATCTATTAGCCCTTGTTCAGAAGGTGTTTGCATATTGCATTTACATACAAATTGTTCAGTTTGGGGAGAAAGACCTGGTTGCAAACAGCTTTTCCCTCAAAAAAGTACTATTGTATCTTCTGATACCATTTTCACCATGTTCACTAGATAGACAAATATGTAAAAAATCCCCAACCTTACTATGAAACAAAAAGCAGTTTACAAAGCAAGCTGCTGTTTTTAGAAAAAAAGTAAAGCTCAACACGAAGGAAAGCTTGCCTCAGTAGTTTGAAGCTATTTTAAGAAACTATAAAAGACAGGTACTATTGCTTTCTCTTTCAACCCTGAGCTGTTCAGTTTCAGCCCTTGCTACAAGCACTAAAGCTGAACACTACAATCTGATAGTTGGCTGCAAATAAAATAATTTTTCATGTAACTTTGTAAACTACGTCTTAGTCTCATTAGTTTGAGATTCTCCCTTGACCAGATTATACAATCACCAATCGCTACTAACACTGTACTTTGAGGTCCATATACTAAATTACATAAACTTGCATAGAAATTTATAGTCAGAAGTGATTTAGTTTTCCTTCAGGCTATTTATCAGCTTGTTCATATATTGCAAAATGCATTCTTTATTTCATAAGGGACAGTATGGTGTCAGAAGTTAATGTTCCAGCTATTTTCTCTAAACTATTATTTCTGTTTTCTACATTCTAACTCTACCACTGCTGTATATTCCAGCCTAATGTCTCCCTCCCTCCCCAGGAAGTGAAAACAAAATAGTGGTGTACCTTTGTCATGGCATTTCTCAGAGCTTGCTTGTAACCATCCCCTCTGCCCCTTAAGTTTGGTGGGCCTCGTTCAATTTCACTATACTTGGTAGCGTGCAGAGGAGCAGGATGCACCTGCAAACTTGTAGCACATGATGCTTCCTGGAGTGGAAGGTTCCAAGTTGGCACCGTTCACAGAGAACATTTCACATAACAACAGGCTGTTGTTGTTCTTTCCAGCTCACTTTACGCACAGCTAGAGATTCACCAACATAAAAATAAATGGTCCTCTCAAATAACCTGAAACTATTTGTATATTGTGAAGGGGGGGAAATTGTTTGCATCTTCTAGAAATGAATAAAGAAACTAAAGTGAAAGATATTAAGAGATGTATGAATAAACCTTTTCAGTAAATGCAATTCACAGGTTTATACTTGTTTATAAGTATTTAACCACAAATATCTGGTAATTAGACCATTACATGAAATTGTCATCATGAATGACCATTAAATGAATTTGTATCAAATGATACACAATAATTATAGCTATCATGCTGACACTTTGATTCAAAATTATTATTTTTTAAAAGAAAAAATATATGGCAGTATTTTTAAACTGAACAGCAGATATCTTCTGTATCGTAAAGAGATCTTTAACAGTAAAAAAATTCTGAGCCATGGAAGACCAGTAATAGCAAATGCTCCTTTAACAGTTTAACCTTTCCCCCAGATAACCTTTTATCCCTTACTTGATGCTTTTCTTAAGAAACATGCCTTTTCTTTTTAAAAGACTCAAACTTCCCAACAAGTTTATTTGAAAATTGTTTGCCAAAAATTAGGCATTTGCAATGTTACTTCTGATATGAGCTAATATGTTTTAGAAGTAAAAATTGTAGCTGAAATTTCAGGAAAAGTGTCAGTTTTCCCACGATTATATAACATTTGACCAGACAGTTTCCCATTTGTTTGGCGGTTTAAATACAACCACTACATTATGCTGATAGCCATATAAAATGTAAGAGTAACTTGCACTTTAACCCATGGTAATAATACCAAGATTTTGAACACCTACAAATGCAGCATTTGCATTTTCAGTGCCACACCAAGTTGAATTCAGTGCCACCTAAACCCAAAGCAGCAGCTGATTAAAAAAAGAAAACATAAGTCAAATGATAAAGCTACATAGTTTAGTACATTAAAACAAAAACAAGGACAATGTATTTGTATAAGGTTCCAAAAATATACAGATGGAAGGAAAAAAAAAATCACTGTACACAACTCTGAGGTTGTTAAAGTGACCAGAGAGACTGAACAGTGCAAGACATGCTTTTCCAGTTACAAGCTCAAAACAGAAGTGCAAAAGAAATTAAAGCTTTGTCTGAAGTGATTTACCTTTTAGGATAAGGAAAGCTTAGAATATTGTCATCAGTGTTACAGAGAAATCTCCATCCCACCCACCCCACCCCCAACACATACACACAAAATAGTTTACGTTTTTCCATAATACAGCATTTCATTCAAATGGTGTCCCCCTGAGCTTGGTTACTGTAGGGACAATTGTCTGATACTTATTAGATGTTGGCCTATGAATCGAGTAATGCATAGGCAGCTTCTCAATTCTCCAGCTTTGGCTAACAATACCTGCAATTTACAGGCAGTGAAAGTGGCAGATAGCCTGGGTTCAAACCCTCCTGCAACTAGCTTCATAAGACCACCTCATTGTAAGAAAGCAGTTGTGCTGAAAGCAGATGCGAAGTTATGGCTGAGGAACAAAGAAATTGCTTTACAGGTCTCTGTACTCTCTCCCAGAGTTAAGAACAATTTCAGGCAAGTGCTTTTAGCAGGCTGACTAAGCTGTACATGCATCTATCCATGCAAATGTAGAATATGGCTCCCAAGACCTAGAACCAGGGTGTGTGCATGTGAAGACTGGATAGAAGGCCCTTCCTTTTAAGTTTACAAAAATATATAGCCAATACTGTAGCTTAAGAAGTCAGTTTTACTCATTACAGAGATCCCCAAAAAGTATTAACTACTTTTCAGACATTCCAGACAAGGTCACTTGTAACAAAAAAGGTCAAGTTCTCTAAAACAAGATTTTAAAAGTGGATCTTCCCTTCAAGTGAACAGGACATCCGTTTTTACGCTTAACTTTTTAGTCAGTTAAGACTGAATTTATTTAAGATTTTATGTGAACATATGCATAAACACAAATAAGTTTACTTTAAACACATCTGCACAGAAAAAAGATTAACCCTTCAAAACATAACAGAGCAGGTCTGGTTAGTATGTATCTATTGCAAATCTTAAAGATTCTGTGCATTAGGCCCACCCATACAGAAAGCAGGGGAGAAGTCTCAATGAAAGAAAATTACTGTTCAAGTCTAAGTGGTGTTTTGAAGAGCCAGCAGCCTAAGTGACACCATGAAGCTAGTCACAGTATCCGAACAAGCAGACCTGCTGGGGCTACTAAAGCAGTGTATCCTCCTGAAGGTGTCATTTACTCCCAAGTTATTTTCTGTTTCGAAGGCGTTTAGATTTCCTAGGACAGTCTGTGGATTCAACCGCCTTCCTCCGTTTTCTAGGAGACTGTTCATTTGAGCCAGAACCTGAAGAATTTCCTACTGTACTCTCCATCACCTCTCGCAGCTTGCGTTCAAGCTCAGCCAATCGGGCATTCTGTTCACCTATGATTTGGGTTTGCTCTAGCAGTTTCTGATCTTGATCTTGGAGTTGTTTCTGTTGCTCTTGCACTTTGATGCGAAGCTCTGAGATTTCCCGCTTTAGCGCTGTCAAGCCCGAGCCATTCGCTTTTACTTGCTGCTGAAGTTTGGTGACTTCCTGTCTGGAAGGGTTCTGCTTGGAGAACAGCTGCATTGTTGTCAGTGCTGCAGAAGGCCCTGGAACTTCAGAGAAAACTGTGATTAATCCTCTACAACTTCAAGACAAAGGTAGAAATTGTGTCCCAGTTCTCATATTTTGCTTATCCCTACTCCCCAAACGTGACTCTGAATACTGGTTGCAAGTTATGTGAACATGTAAACAGATTTACAGTCATTTAAGTGTCTAACTAGAGCACATGGCATCTCAGAGCACAACTAGTTTAATTTAAAATACTTAGATTTTCAGTAGTCTGGAAAACAGCTCATCATTCATTTTCTGTATATAAGCCCCCCTCCTTTTGCTGTATCAAAAATTATGTAGAGATATCATGTTGTCATCTAGATTTAGTGTCACAGATGTTAAGTCAAAAACCCACAACATGTCTATAAATTACTTATTACAGAATAGTTATATTAAATAAATATATTTCAATAGAGCAGTACAACTCTGCTGTCATACTTGTAGACAGCTAAAGTTCTAAAATTTTGTGTTTGGGGCTTAACAAGATATTTCAGTTTAACTTACTTTTTAGAAGAAAGGAATTTATTTTCCATGCTTCTTTAGAATCACTCTTCCTAAGTACTAAAACCATACTGGAATTTGAGCTTGGGAATGTTGATTTTAATAAAGTTCCTGCAAATCAAGGAGACTAACAGCTACTGTATAATTTCTTTCACTTTTTCTATCATAAAAGATAACTATCACTTTTCCCATCATTTTACTCTTCTAGCAGTGCTGTGCAATTAAGATGCAACTTTTAAGCGCTACAAAGACAGAACAGTCTGGAACAGCCTAGAACAATCATCCTCCTCCTCTTTTTTCCTTTAAGATGCCAGCATAGCTACAGTTATGTGACACTAAAGGGTTGCCATTAGATAGGTTATGCTCCTCCCTCAACACAAGATAGGCATTTTTATGCCACATAAAGCCTTGGCAAGCCGACAGACATCAACTATGGTTTTGGGCAATACTTCCTCAACTGGGAGACTCAATGGAATTGAGGTATAATTAACAGGATATAATTGAGAGGTGGTATACACACTTATGGCTAAAAGGATGGACAGGACATACCAGAAACAACAAGCAGCTCCTACGGTTAGGCCTATCATTTTTGCTTAAGATGTAATTTTTAAAAAAATTTTTTATTAAGTTATCCTTTCAGAGAGTTAATTTCACAGTTCCTAAGAAGTGTGAAGATGTTCAGCACAGGGAGAACACTACAGTTCTACTAACCTTTTGCTTTTGGCCATTATATGAGGCAACTACCTTAGACTTTGGTTCACAAAAGTTCTGGGAAGTCTGACAGAGTATTCGAAAGACCAGTTTAATTGTTTATTTATAGACTGTTATTTTAATTGCCTTTTCACTAATACCCATAAGTATTTTGCTTTGTTAGTGTATACATTAGTGCCCCAGGAAAGTAAAAAAAGCACATACAAGTATGTTCTAGCTGTCTATGCACTACAACATCTTAGGCTAATTCATTGCTCATGGTCCTAAAAATAAAAGGCATCGAGTTGTCATCTCGTGCCAAATTTCAACCAAGTGCAATGATAAAGTCTCATTCATTGGTGGCACAAAAGCATTTGTTTCATGAATACACACTATGCATAATTCTAACATACATTCAAGTGACTGTTCTTTTAGTAGTACAAAGGCTCCTTAAATTTCAAAGCAAATGAATTTCAGTTAGCATTCTTAAGAAACAAGTATCATCAATATTTATGTAATAAAGCTCGCATTTAAGGGAGGGAGCTTTAAAAAAATACAGTGCTGTGAATTTTTACAGAAAAACAAAATACAACTTAACTATACGTTGGAATTAATACCTGGGGCAGTTCCTATCAGACGTCCTGATACATCTGACCCAGGCATCTTTCTTTTCAGTATTGGAACAATCTTCTCATCAAAATATTCCATAGCCATGGAGGAAATGTCTCTTAGTTCTTGAAGAACTTCATGAGCTCTCTGAGGAGCTCTTGTAGAGTTTACATACCTTAGCACACGATAAATTTCATCTATTACCTAAAACATTTAAGAAGAATTAGGATTTTCTGATAAAGGCAAGATTATTTCAGACCATTCTAGAAGTACTGGCGTATTCAGGGGCTTTTACTACATAACTATTGCATACCACTGTGTACTTTAGTTCTAGATCAGCTTTTTGAAATGAAGTGCTGTTTGTGATATATCAGAGAAGCTATTCACTTGATTTGTCACAACAACTCTCTTCAAACTCAAACAATGCTCACTGTGTGAAATTTTGTTTTACTACATTCATACTTGACTTCTAAGTTATATAACCTATACTCATCAGAGCATAATCATTTCTTATTGGAGAACCTGAAGCCAGACATTCTAAGCCACACTGCAGAGCAGTCACTCCCCCAGCCAGTCACAAGGCATATGAAACACATGAATGGAACAGCAAGAATTATCGTTATGTCAGTCTGAAGAGCTGTAAATATTTACTTGAGTCCACTTGCATACACCCAAAATACTGCAAATTCAGATTAAGTCCAAAATATACTAATTTATAGAACATCAATCCACTACTGACAGAGAACACAAGCACCCTCTTAACAGGTTTGACAAACAAGCCCTTTCAATAGGAGCGATATAGAGAGATGAAAGGTGTCTCGCTAATCTATAAATTATAGTCTGAGGCAGGTCAAGATAGGAGTGCTGGTCTCTTATTACCAAAACTACTGACACAGGTGTTTTTCACAGGTTTAAGAATGGTTGAAGAGTCCCCAGAAAAACACAGATCTTAAGGACTCAGAATCATAGATAAGACAATACAGTTGCATCTTGTGTTTTAATAAAGGAAGCTTAGCTGAAAAGTTGCAAAAGCTAGACAAGACTAAAGTGTCTCATCACACAACAAGCTTACAAAAGACTTCTCTAATTTCACCCACATTATATCCTGTTAGCAACAACATCCTCACTGCATTCTCCTGCCATCCTCAATATAAAATCCTGCAGCAACAATCTGCTATCACCAGGAACCCTCATAGTATGCTGAACCTCAAATCAGGATTTGCATATTCTAACACAAATTCACTTCCTGACAATTCTGTGGCAGCTTCATTCAAACGAAATTTCCTGAGGGAAGCAGGGCAGGTGTGGGGGGGAAACCACAGACTGTAACTGAACACTAAGCCTTGAATCTGCCCAACCAAGATAGGATTTTCTGGTGAATTGTAATCGTGCTGAGAGAGCAGCAGCACTAGCAAGCTCATACGCTAAGTAAATAATTTAAAAAGACTTCTTAGCTGTTATAGCAGAATACAAACAAGGTCCTTATGACTCAGTGCCCTCAAGGAAAATGGCTGGCAAGCTCACTTGCCCAGCTCCTGCACACCCCAGGTCTAGACTGAGTATTGCCTTTCCATCTACTCTTCAAAAAAGTATGGCAATATTTCTTTTAAGTATTCCATTTACTATGTGAGTATCAAGGACTTAAGTTTATTTGACTTTATGTTATATTAAATTTTTTAAAATGCATGGTATATATAAAAATATAATATAAAGTCAAATAAGCATAAATACATTAAACTATAATGATTTAATTTAAAAATTAAATATCAAGTCAACAAGAATGTAGAGAAATCAAGTTACCTATTCAAGATAAAAATACATTTCATGCTGACAGCCTATCCTAAAAATGCCTGCCATGCTTCACCTGAATCCAACAGCTAACTTTTCCATTCATCCCAGTGCAGTTCAGTTATCTGCCCATGAAAAATTAATACCAACATACCCAAACCTCACATGGAAAAATCAATGAATAGAACATTAGGCTAATGTTCACAGATCTTGTTTCAACCCTGAGCTGTACCAGTCTTCCTCAGATCATGATTTTGTCAATTCCCCTGTGCATTTCTGTTTTCAGAGCTTATAAAACAGTGGTTTCTCCGATGTACATCTCGCTTGAATAATTTGTATTTTACGTTGGGGGAGTATTCTGAAACACCAGAATTGTTCAGTAGTATTAATATTTAACACATTTTATCTACATTTAAAACTAATTCCACCTACTGTACAAAAATACCTCATCTGCTGTAATACTGAACAGTGTTACCACATACTAAATATCTTAATTTAATTAATCTCAAGTACTCAAACCCTTAAGAAAGGTGCCTAACATCTTCCTGATCGACTGAGTGCTTAAGCTTATATGTAGTCTAAATTACTACATCTTCTGATGACCTGGCCTCCAGCTGTTTTGTGTAACTAAAATTCAGAATTAAACCCTACGTATCATGTGTTTCTTGTAAAAGGTTGTATAGGATGTATATGCCACAAGTCAAATGTCAGAATTAAGAGAGAATCTAAGGGAAAATGGAAATCAAGTTTAAAATAATTAATATTTAGATATAGTCTGGTTCATTCATTTCAGACTACCTGTTACAGCAGAGTATTGGCTTGTGTGTTTGTTTCCAAGTATCTGAAACACAGTTTCAGTATATATATATACACACATTATATAAATTTGTCCCAGCTGTCCCAGGTTAAGTTACATAATCATATTTTTTAAACACAGATATACATTCACATAATATAGTTTACATTTTACCTTGCCAGGTATGAAGCAACAGAGATTGGAATCCACATACTTCATGAAAGTCATATTTAACAGAGAGAGTCTCGTTTCTACAGCAGCAAGGATGTCTGCATGACGAGCTAATGAATGGTTTCTTCTTTCTGACTCCCGTCTAGAAGACAGACCATTAAGTGACACGGATTTACCAACGAGTCAACAAAACGAAACTAACAATCGCTCAAGTTAATTTCACCCTTAAAACCCTATGAGGTTTGAAAATGTAACCACTAACATTAGTTCTGTCTTTATGGAAAAAACCTGATACAGATTGAGAACCAGCTAGTAATAGCATACTAGACCTTCTTAGACAAAATTTGTTCTCTAAATAATTGCTACATCCATAAACTCTCTATATAATTTAGGACTATTTAAAAACAAGCTTTCAGTACTAACTAGCAGTAGACACCGAGTCAGCGTGAATATTTTTATTCCCCCCCCCATATTCCTACAGTTAGTACTTCAATGCAATTGACATAAATTTAATACATTATTAGTGCTTGCTACAAAGTTTAAGTTGAGATATAAGCTCTTTTGACAAAGGATCTCTATAGTAAGTAGCATTTAGTTTCTTCACTCTGACTGGGAAATCTGATAGGACACAGCAGCAGCTGCACTTATTCACTGGAAAGAGGAGAAAAGACATTGCTTTAATGAGAAACTAGCTCCCAGTAACACTCGTGTCAACCCCCGCTCCCCACCCCTTTCCCCTGTTTAATCCTTGGCACTGAAAAACCTTGCTTGTTTTTTAAGCAGAGTCGTAGATAAATCATCAGTGAAGGCAGTCAGTCTTGAAAAGGAATAGCATTTATTCATTCCTAGGAGTCCTTGCGTGATTTGCCAGAAGAATTGAGTAATACTGGACCCACTCTTCTTTTCTCTGTTTAAAATACCAGAGACACTTTCCAATATTCCAGTTCCTAGTATACAACAACTTACATTCATCCACACCATTATTTTGTAATTAGATCTTATGTTCAAGGCGCTTTTGGAAAAAAGTGAAACTAAAACAAATGTGATTCAAATTTTCAAGATACATAAGTTGAATTAGCTAGCAAGAAATTCCTTTTCACTATTCTGTTTGAAAGAATCTAGCACATTTAAGTTTAACTACAGTTTTAACTGGTACATACCTTGGAAGTTGAGCTTTAACTTGCTTTTGACACAAGTTGTGGTATCTTTCCACTTTCAGAAATCCCTGATTTAACATTCGCTGGCAAACCAAATCCATTCGCTTACAAACCTGTATTTAAGTAAAAAAAAAAACTTAAGGCTCAGTTAAGGCCACAAGTCACTTCTTATTATCTTATCCATACTTGCTGGATAGTAAAAAATTCTCGTATCAGTTTTTGCTCCATTTCAAGAAGCAGAAACTGCAGTTGAGCTTAAAGCATCATCATCTCTAACAATGATCATGATACTCCAACAAGGAGCAGCTCTGTTCCACATAGTTCACAAATCAATCTCCTGATACTGCCTAACAAGAGACAGGAGGCTGAATTCCACCCATATATAAGCAGATACAATTTCCTCTGATTTTAATGGAAGTTGCAAATGCCTGTGCCTGGCTTTTAACTTGGCCTCCAGAGTGATCCTGGTAGATTAAGTTAATATTTTGTAGTCTCAAAAGGAAGCCTTTAAAAACAAGAAATTATGATGGTTTTCCTTCAGCATTTAAGGCTTATGTTTTTGAATTTGGCCAAAATTAAATTTAAAAACTAATGCAATACAGTGCACGTGAAGCAAGATTCCTTTTCATATAAAAGAAAGTCTTTTCTTCTTTGATTAACAGATTCCTTTATTTGCAGTGTTGGATACCAATAGCCTCAATTTTTTCACAGATTTAGGGAGAAAGGACATTAATAGCTGCAGAAGACATAACAAGCTGCTAAATTTAAACCTTCACAAAGTAACCAGTTACAAGACAAAGCTAACTTGTACAAAAGCTTAAAGCAGTTGCAACTCATAGAATAGTTTGGGTTGGAAGGGACCTTTAAAGGTCCTCTAGTCCAACCCCCCTGCCATGGGCAGCGACAGCATCAACTAGATCAGGGTGCGCAGAGCCCGGTCCAACCTGACCGTAAATGTTTCCGGGGATGGGGCATCTACCACCTCTCTGGGCAACCTGGTCCAGTGTTTCACCCCCTCACCGTAAAAAATTTCTTCCTTGTATCTAAATCTATCTAAGTCTAAATCTACCCTCTTTTAGTTTAAAACCATTCCCCCTTGTCCTGTCGCAACAGGCCCTGCTAAAAAGTCTGTCCCCAGCTTTCTTATAAGCCCCCTTTAAGTACTGATAGGCCACAATAAGTTCTCCCCGAAGCCTTCTCTTCTCCAGGCTGAACAACCCCAACTCTCTCAGCCCTTCTTCACAGGAGAGGCGTTCCATCCCCCTGATCATTTCCGTGGCCCTCCTCTGGACCTGCTCCAACAGCTCCATGTCTGTCTTGTGCTGAGGGCTCCAGAGCTGGACGCAGTACTGCAGGTGGGGTCTCGCCAGGGCAGAGTAGAGGGGCAGAATCACCTCCCTCGACCGGCTGGCCACGCTTCTTTTGATGCAGCCCAGGATACGGTTGGCCTTCTGGGCTGTGAGCACACATTGCCGGCTCATGTCCAGCTTTTCATCCACCAGTACCCCCAAGACAATCAGTTTGTCCGCCAGTTTGGATTGATATTGGGGTTGCCCCGACCCAGATGCAGGACCTTGCACTTGGCCTTGTTGAACCTCATGAGGTTCACAGGGGCCCACTTTTTCAGCTTGTCCAGGTCCTTCTGGATGGCATCCCGTCCCTCAGGTGTGTCGACCACACCACTCAGCTTGGTGTCATCTGCAAACTTGCTGAGGGTGCACTCGATCCCACTGTCTATGTCATTGATGAAGATATTATCCATCAATGGCCTTAATTCAGTTGTGAAGATGCAAGAGTGTTGTGAATCAACTGTCCTTTGAAATTGTTATTTTTTTGTACTAAAGTGCACAATGTCCCACTGTGACTGCACTTTCCAATGGATTAGCTTTGCTTTTTTTTTTTTAAAAATAAACACCCCTTCCTTAAAAAAATATACTCATTTAATAACTTTGAAGTCTATGTAAATTTATACCTTGAGGAAGAAGATTCTCACTTCTCCTAGAAAAGCCTGCAATTATTTTCTGTTTATATGGAAGGCACTACTTAAAGAAGCTTACTTTCTGTAAGTCCTTCTCTAGTCACAGCTAGTTTAAGTTCTGCAAGTAAGAACTGACCATTTTCAAACAAATCTGTATTAACAGACCATTAAGTAACTGCTGTCGATCTGTCAGTGCTCATTTGTATCTTCCTCGTTAACAGTCAAAGGAGAATGATCAGATGGGCTAACTACAGAGGTACAGTCTCAGTACACTTCACTAGAATCAGCTAAATCATTTCTAGTGTATAAAAACAGTAATGCTCGCCCTTCAACTCCAGGAAGGAGGAAACTGTCACATTTCTTCTAAGACATTAGCTGCATTAGGGATGCCTAGATCTGATACCATTTTTGAGTACAAGACTTAACAGCTTACTTGTAGTTCTAATGCCACCAAATCCCTGAACTAGGAACTAGTACCTCCACAAGGGCTTTGTTAGCTATGCAATTATTCAGCACAGAAGAAAAGCAAACTTAGATACATTATTAGGTAGAAATTCAGAGGAAGCACAGAAAGAGCGATTTTAGCCATGTGTCTACTGACACCTGGTGGCAGCAAGGACCTTTCAGTGTGCTGAAGCCCTGCCATATCCAAGAGAGTAGATCACAATGGGTAACACTACATTTCTTAAACACTGGATTTTTTAATCTTACTCATTTGCTTGCATCACGCAGCATGAAGAATTATTTGCTCCAGTTTCTGGACATGACCCATATTTGTGCCAATAATCAGTCTAGAACCCAAACACCAAACAGATAACAGGTACCACCAGAAACCAAAAGTGTTTGCAACTTATTTGACCAATCACCTCTTAATTCTCAGCGGGCTTCTGATGTCACCATTTAAACCACATGGCACCTGAAGTTACAGGAACAATATACCTCTTTTAGACTGCGTAGTCAGCAGTCATATGCAAAGTCGCATTATTACACTTCTACGTGTTCATATTAGTCCAAGACAGTTTGATACTAGCTATTCAATGGACCATAAGAAAGTAAAAAATTAAATTTGCTCATATTTGTATTTGCAAATTTTTGTGAACATTGTCTTATTCTAGCCATAAAGCAGAAAGAGCCCAAGTTTCCTCAAGTGTCAAGTCCAACCAGACACTGTGTTCAAATTTCAGTGTTAGAAAGTTATTCCAAGTCCATGCGAAAAGCAGAATGAAAAGGTGGCTGCTTCTTAGCATGCTGACTTATATGCGGTAACAGCTTCTATGGAAGAACTAATTTCCCACTTCATTTGTAAACAAACTAAACTGGCACAATCTCCTAGAGGACTACTACCAGCTTCCCTTTCCTCAAGCATGTCTTATTTTTTCCAAGCTTCACTAACAGACAACCAATATAAAAACAGAGATAAAAATATCCTAAAGTATTTAGATTCAATACATGTTATTTTTCTTAGAGGCTACACAGACACCATGTTTCATAATGCCTTTCTAGGGTGAAGTATAAGTAAGTGAGAAAACATTGATGATTTCAGCAAGAAACTTTAAAATAGAAATTCCTGTAAATACAGATTTACTGAAACTGTGGGAAAATTAAAGTCGTACTGTCCAAAGGCTATCAGTCCTCATTTGTGCTGTGCTGAAAATAAGCACAAGTTTGCTGCAGAATTTAAGACACTTCTGACATGTGTCAGAATCCAAGATAACCTTCTCCTCAGAGTGTTCATGGAAGGAGGTTACAGATTGTTTGTTTTTAATCGTGCTTGCTGTAGTAATAGCCTGAATGGAAGTGCATTTCTAAGCTCAGACATGTGAGTGAAAAGAATTTAATTATTATCCCACTCAGGTAAAAATTCCAGAGCTGCTCTAAGTCATTACAGTAAAAGCAGTCTTCAAAAACCAGAAGATATGCCAGCTTCCACATCAGCTTGCATACCAGGCTGCAGCTTGTCCAGAACATTACAGCTTCAGACATAATGATCTTTTGGGTTTTCTGTGTTTCTCTTATGATGACATACCACAGGAAGTAGATGAAGTAAATACTCAGAAGGGCTGAAAGCAAAATACTGCTGCTTTTCCTCTCATTCACTTTATCCAAACAAAAGTTTGATAACTCAAGATTTGCACTGATGCATAATTTCAGACACGACTGCATTCTGAATACCTATTGTTTAGTCTCCATTACTTTAGATATACTTCACTGCTTAACCAGTAGGTGCTTCATTTATGCTTTTAAATGCAGTAACACCAGGAATAGCAGAAAGCATTATGCTCAGGAAAGCAAGTGCTTCTTTGCACAATGAGGGGCCCGTGGTCTTGCCCTGCCTGATGGCAATCACCGTAAGCAGGAAACGTTCTTTAGCTCGTCCTTTGGTGACAGAAAGAGACTTATGGATCTTAAGCCATAGATTATGCTCCTCATTATGCTCTATATAAACAATACAGGTTCCTATCTCTGTTTTAATCTGAAAACTTGCTGATGTTGATGTCTTCCCACCCAGCCAACTCCTTAGTCTGTCCTGTACACACTCTAGATCCAACACCAGTTCAACTCAAAGTTTTTTGTTTTTTTTTTTTGATCAGTGAGCTAAGGTGATCCAGAAAAAGAGATTAGGGCATCCATTTCCTTTCAATGCTGGGATCCAGAGAATGCATCAAAGCGATCAGTTTAGGGAATCCACATTTTGATCAAACTTCATTTAGGTTAATTGATGTCCTGGATCATATCTTTCTACCTTCCTCAAGATTCCCATGGAATGCCACATTCTAAGGGGTTAATGAGGCTGCTTTTGGGCACATTTTTAATATGTATGACACCTAAGCAATTTAATCCCTGTAATTCAATTAATGTGGTTCTGCAATGTATCTTTAGCAGAATACTACTCATTATAAGATACACCCATTCATCTTTGATAAGCAGCTCAAGTCAGTTCTCATAGAGAAGAAAGATTTACTGTTTGTGCAAGACAGATCTTAGAGCAGGAATATACAAGTGTCTCCCAAGGCTACTTGTAGCCTTTAAAAATCTGAAAATGATGAAATTCCATTATGAATTTATGCCTAGGCATTGCTATTTTTAAAGGCTACCTTAATTCTCTGTCAACAGCATCTGGAGTTATATAAAACA